TGTGCCATGTGGGTCACCTCCAGGGTGGGGATGGAACTTGCAAAGTGGTCATGGCTTGGTTTAGCTTCTTAGTGCAGTGCTCCAACCCACTGCGCCACCAGGGAGGGCCCAAAAACCTTTTCTGAAGTAATACATTTGCAGATTATCCTTTAGAGCTGTTAAAAATAAAAGTCTTATGATTAGAAAATGAAATGATCTTAGCATATCCATTTGTATTTGTCTTAGCACTTAAAATACATGTGTGACACACGATTCAAAAAAAAAAGATCATATTGCATTTCCCAGGTATGTTTTCAAATTGAAATGTCATTACAGAAATGTATTACAAACACTGTAGATGTGACTCATTGCTGCTAGGGTTAGAAACTTCCCACTTAAAGTCACTTCAATTCCTAAAGTAAGTTTACTCATGTTTTTTCCACATTACATTTTCCTGATAAAAGTAAAAAAAAAAATGAGGCTTCAAGTTTTATTTATTTTTTTTTTAAAGATTTATTTATTTGTGCATACAGAACTGGGGTACAGGCCAGAGGCTCAGGGGCGGTGAGAGGCTTCACCAGAGACAGAGTGGGGAGCAGAACAGGCAGATCGACGAAGTCCACTGCTGCTGAGGGGAGCAGCGGGCGGGTCAGGAGAGGTCTGCCACGCCATGTGGTCACCTCCGGGGAAGGCGGGAATCGAACTCATGTGGAAGCGGCTTTAGATTCTCAGTGCTGTGCTTTAACCTGCTGCGCCACCAGGGAGGGCCTCAAGTTTTATTTTTAAAGGAAGTATTCTTTAGCATTTCCCTTCCTCCTCAAAACTGAGGAGAGGAGTAATTATGCATGAACAGGAGATAAGCATCAGAGCCCTCTAGGTTGAGAAGGGTTAGTGGGCCTTCTGTTTACAAACATTTCCAAAAATTGGTATGCAATCCCTACTCAGTGAATTCAAATGCAGCTCTGAGCATCTGAAACTGTAAGAATTCAGGAATTCCTAGGGAAAAGGGAGGTTTCAGTTTCCCTGCCCCACCCAACATAGAATAGAGCTGTTTCTTATTGGCCCACAATAGTCAAAGCAGAACTAATAGGAACAGAAAACAAGCTTGGCCTCTACAAAGACGTCAAACAGATAAGCAGAATTCACTGGTTCACAGACTTAAAACCAATAGTTTTGAACAGTCTGGAAGAGAACTTGAGGCCCTTTTGGCTCTATGGAGACTAATTTGAAAAATAAAGTTCTGGGCCCTCCCTGGTGGCTCAGCATGTTAAAGCACAGCCCTAAGAAGCTAAAGCCACTTCAGCATGAGTTCGATCCCCACCCAGGAGGTGACCACATGGCGCCGCAGACTTCTCCTCACACGCCTGCTGCTCTCCTCAGCAGTGTACTTCGTCAGTTGGCCTGTTCAGTTCCCCACTCTGTCTCTGGTGAGTCCCTTAACCACGCCTGTACCTCTGGCCTGTACCCCAGTTCTGTATGTATAAATAAATAAGTCTTTAAAAAAACATAAAGTTCTAAAGTTATTTTCCTTCACACCTTCTCTTCTTCCATTCATATCTTCAGTAACTTTTATAAGATTCTATTATCAAACAAGGAGTAAGTCTGTAGCAGAACCTAATTTTATGGAAAAAAGGTAGGAATTGAATTAATCACACTTCGCAGTGCAAGTAACAGTGTTGAAATGGTCTACATCAATTTTACTGTATTTGTTCAACATCTACCATCTCCACGCCCACTTCATTGTTCCACACGGGCACATTGGTCGTGTGTTTCGTAGAGCTCCTGGGGGTCTGGATATAGGATCATATTTGCAAACTATATATAATGATGTTTTCTGCATGAAAATAATTCTGGTTGTTTTCATTTACAAAAATGATGTTATAAATGTAATTTTTTTCAACTTTTTATTATTACTTTCTAGATTTAATTGTGTTGCCAGAGAAAGAGAATAGTGTAAAGACATAACTAGTGATACGCAACCCTTATGAATTTGCATGAGCTATTTTCTGGTGGGACTGCAGTCCTAAGGAATATACACACTAAATTTCACTACTTACTGCCAGGTTGCATTCAGAAGGCATGCACCAGCTTTTAACCTACCAACAGATCAGGAGGATTCCTCTGCCATAATGTGCCAACCTTCGATAGTGTCTGACTTTCTAAGTTTTGCCAGTCTGATAGGTGCAAAGAAACAACTCCTTGTTTTTCTTTAATTATAAATGATTTTGATTGTCTCCTCACATACTGTTAGCTTGTCAGAATACTCCCTGCTGTGAAGTTTGAGGAGTATCTAACATCACACAATGTTACATTGGCATACTATCATAATGTGGTCCATCCTTCCATTCACATAGACTTTTGTTGTCTTCCTAAAGATCTTGTCCATAGTTTGTTGGGTTACATTAGGTCATTTACAGCAGAGCTTGCAAACTTTTTCATGTCATGGTAGAGATAGGTCAGTAGCATATTTGCACATGGTGACAACAGGCATCTTTGAACTACTTCCAATTTAAGAGCGTGTCTAAACCTTTTCCATTAATATGTGATTGCTATAGGACTTGGGTATGCCACCTCTATCAAGTAAGAAATTTTCCTCTATTCTGATCATTTTACTAGAAATAAAGAGGTTACTGGACGTTTTTCCTGTATGTATTGACAAGTCGGGGCCATTGTCCCCTTTTTATTCATTTACTCACCTTGCTTTCCCCCTTCCCTTCTGGTAACCACTAATTTGTCATATAGTGCAAAGCATATTTTTCTATGCATTTAATTTTTTTTTTTTTCCGCTACAGACCAAGTGAGTGAAAGCCTATGGTGTTTGTCTTTGGTTTACTTCACTAAGAAAAATGTCCTTTAGTTCCACTTTCAGTCACATTTTTGTCAAAGTGAGTCAGACTCAAACCAAGGGTGGACCACCTGCTAATGGGAAGAGAGAGATTATCTTGCAAATGACAAGCTTAACAGGGCTGGAGTATTTGCAACAATTTAAGATTTACCCCAAAGAGAGATGTTACTTTAAAATGTTTCACTATTGCAGATGATAGCAAGAACAGTAGCTAACAGTGCTGATGACAGGTTCCTAATCTTTCAACTTCCTAAACTTATCAACATAGTAAGTACCTTGGAATGCACTCACTCCTCTCTGGTCCTCTCTATTCTAATTGGTTTCTGAATCCACAGCAGAATTTTTTTCTCAGTTCTTGCTTTTTTAAACAATAAATGTACTAAGTCACTTATTTTATTTCCAAAATATTATATTGGAAATATTATAGTGTTACCAGTTTCTTTCCTCCATTTAGTGCTTTATGAACCCATTTTCTCAAAGTTATGACTTGTGGTGCTTTCGAGATTGTCTTATTCTTATAAGGACACTTGTGATAGCACTGGGCCAATCTTCACAATCTCCAATTACTCTGAATCAAATTACACAATTACTCTGAATCAAAATCCTTAACACATATGTGAAATCCCTTTCTGCCATGGAAAGTAACATCATATGTACTGGGACTAGGACATGGACATCTGTGGGGCCATTTTTCCACCTACCTTATCCCCTCTTCCCACTTTCACTTCCCACAACTTTCTTCTCCCATGACCTCACCATTCTCTATTTCCTCAACCTTCACAAGTGTTCATCTCTCTATTAGAAAAGCAAAAGCATGCCATTGTGGCTAAGAGGCCGAACTCTGGAGTCAGTTTGGCTTCAAATTTGCATGTGCATTTATTCACTCTATGGATTCTAAGTAAAGGCAAAGCAAATTAAATAAACCTTCAACAAAGCAATTATCTAAACAGAGTGAATCAACTGTGGGATGTTCCAAAGGCACAAAAGTGACTGATAAACTCATTTATTAAAATGCTGCCACTGGTGGCAGTGGAGCAGGCTGGATGTAGATTCAACAACCAACCAATCAAAAAAGTTCATGTTGGTAGCCATCAGGGAATCTAAACCAGCTACTGGAGATTACTGAGGAATTTTAAGTAATAATGACCGTGAGTTGGACGCTGAATCCAGAGATGTAGCCAAAAGTATTACTTTAGAGTGAGACATTATAATTTAGGGTGCTTCAGTTATTCTTGGGTGGAGGGGCGGAGAATTAACAGATGAAACAGAAGCTTCCCTGGTGGTACAAAGGGTTAAAGCGCAGCACTATGAAGCTCTCCAGCTGACCTCTCCTGACCTGCCCCCTGCTCCCGTTGGCAGTGTATTTCAGTGGATGAGCCTGTTCTGTCCCCACTGTCTCTGGTGAAGCCTCTCACACACACCCCACCTGTGGCCTGTACCCCAGTTCTTGTATGCATAAATATATAAATCTTAAAAAAGATAGATGAAACAAAACAGGCAAAATGTTTATTGCAGATGTTGAGTGGTACATGCGAGTTGATTACACCTTTATCTGAAATTTGCACGCTGTGTCTGTAAACTACATGTATGCAGCCTTTCTTTTCTAGGTTATACCTGGGAAGCATTTCCCCAGCTTGTCCTTATCCATCTCCCTTTTATGCACTTTTACCATCATGGCACCTAATTACACCATATTAATTAGGCTTACTTTATTACTTCTGAACATTTGACCTTTGTGTGTTAGTCATGGGGTAACTGTATGTGTTGGTTGGTGCGGCGCAAAGACAAGACGTCCTGGCGCGCGTGGGGACACACGGCACCCCAGCAAACACGCCACTGCAGCGCATGCAGGAAGACCGCAGGATCCCGGGCAGCAGGGCCAGGTCTCAGGCGAAGGGGCTCGACTGAGGGCCGAGGACGAGGCGCAGGGTTGGGGGCGCTCCTGGCTGCAGTGCTTGCTATTTAAGAGCTTTTATTCTTCCCCCCTCTCCTATTTTTGACCCCTTTACCTTCTCTTCACCCTCTATCCCCATTTTCTACCTGTACTGTACTGTGCTGGAACCAACATTCTGTGCAAAACTCAGGATCCAGGTGAAAGATGTGGCCCAAACCGAAAAATTCACATCTGCAAACCACCACAATCCACACCCGGGCATGTTTCCAACTCTTTATTTATTTTTGTATCGGCGGCTTTTGGTACCTTCCAAGCGGCCTCGCGCCGCACTACACGGACTGTTCCGTGTCCCTCACCCACAGATCCCGCTTCGGGCGGCAGCGGAATCCCCGCCCTTCACACTCGCACACCCGCCTCCCTCCTCTCCGGACCGCAGCGGGCGGTACACACACCTGCGCGACCGGGCGCACCTCGGCGCGCCCCGAACTGCGTTTGCGCCAACTGCGACCGCTCAAGCTAGCCGTCCCGCGGTCCCGCCTAGGATTCACCAAAACCCGCGATATCTCATTCCTCATGCAACTAAGCAGCACCAACGGCTTAGGAGACCTGGAAAATTCCAAAGCCCTGCGCACGCGCTCTGTAGCTTTCAACGCCCCGGCTCCGCCCGTCCATGACCCCGCCCCTTTACATCAAGATGCTGTCTGCCTCCACGTCATGCCAATCATTCACGTCTTCCCGCTGTAACCTCGCAACAAGCTTCTCATTCGCTAGTTTTAGTAACGAACGCCGCGGAGAGGCGGCGACGATAGGCTGGAAGTCAGCCCCGCCTTCCTTCTGTATGAACGAAAGACGATTGGTCAGCACGGCCGTCCAATCAGCGGCGGGCTGTCGGATTCAAACCGGGTTCGTTGGGCCTGTAGTCGGTTGGTCTCAGTCGAGTCGTTGCCTTGGCCCGACGTGGTGGTGCGGCCCGCTGTGTCCGCTCTTCACGCCCCTGTCGCTTCTTATCCGCCGCCGCAGGATGGCCCACAAGCAGATCTATTACTCGGACAAATACTTCGACGAACACTATGAATACCGGTAGGCTGCAGGATGGCTCCTCAGCCGCGGCACCGGGTGCGGGCTCCGGGAGCCGGGGGTGGGGGAAGAGTCGCAGCCGGGGGAGGTTGGAGGTCGGATTTGGGTCGAGGCCGCTTTGTTCGCTCCAGGTTTCCGTTCTGACCGGGCGAGGCCGGGGGCGGGGGTCGACTGTGGGGACGGGGGTAGAGCTTGAGGAGGGGCCGGAGCCATGTCGGCCTCGAAGTTCCTCAGGCCGGGGCCCGGGGCGAGTTCTGGTCGAAGCTCGTCGGGCTTTAATCACGTCGGGCCGGGCCTGGGTCCGGTCGGAGCTGGGGCCCGGCTTACCCGTCCGGCCCCCGCCCTTTGTTAGGTGGGTGGGGACGAGGCCCGGCGCCCCCAGGAACGTGCTCGGACGGGGAAGAGCGAGAAGCCTCCGCTGCCGGGTTCTCGACCACAGTCGGGCCGCGCTCCGGGCAACGGGCACCCCTGCAGACGCCCGGGTGCCCCAGACTGCCTTGGGGGGCGTTGGGAAGACTAATGGTGGCCCGCTGACTCTGGGCTGTTATCTAGGGTGGAGACGCTGCTCTCGCTATTCAGGGCGGCGGTGCTGTAACTTAGCCTGAGGGAGACCCCCGCAAAACTTTTGGATTGGGATTTGGAAGTGTTCATTCGCCTCGTGACCCCCCGGCTTTTAGTCGGTGGTTCACCCCGGCCCCGGGGGAGCCGCCGGAGGCCGGTGGAGAAAGCGCGTCACTGCGTGGCTTCTCCCCCAGCGGGGGCACACTGGCCAGCTGGCGGCTGCAGGGGTTTCAACGTGGAGAACGGGGTACCTGGGGGTGGTGCGGGAGGAAGCGGCCCCTGGTACCAGCCAGCCTCGGACGCGGGACTCGCCTGGGCGTGGCTTCCGGCCGCCCCTCCCCCACCGTGGTTGGGGTGTCTGGGACGCTGCATGCTGGGAAAGCGCCGGAATGTGGGCGGGGCTGAGGGGTGACCTTGTTTCTGCACTCTGTACCCTTCGCTTAGATTTACTAGAACATTACTTGAGAGGGGCCCGAAAGAGGGAGGCCCCTGGTGTCAGGGAGGTCTGTGTTCTTTGGAGAAAATAGCACTTACTTTAGAGTGACTTTAAAGTTAGTTTGATGTTCCTAGCTGCCAAAGTTTTCTGCTGTCTGTAGATAAGTAAATTTGAAGTCGCTTATCTTATGCTCCACAGTTCTAGTCCTGCCCTGTTTGGGCATAATGTTCGATTGTGTGATGTAACCTGAGCGCCCACCCGGGGATAACCAGTATTGTAAACTATAAATACGTCTGTAAAATCTGGGGCTCTGTTCTGAACTCCTGGCTCCAAGTAGATTAGAGCATCCCCAAGACCTCTCTCAGTAACATTTTTACTTTTAATATGCTAACATAATCACTAGATGCACTGAATAAGATAGACTGGTGGTAACTTTGCCTGATTAAGTGGTTGGTTTGTAGCATAGAAAGCTTTGTCATAGCCAAGTGATGTGTACTCACCCAGTTTTAAAGTTGGTCTTCACCAAGTCGTGTTTTGAAACAGGATAGTAAATGATCTCCTGAGATTTTTAAAGGGAAGGCTGTGCTGATGATAAATCACTGAAGTGTTATTCCAGGATGGTTTGCATGTGTGTGACATGCAATGTAAACTCCAAAGGTTAGTACGTTACCAGTATAAACTGACCTGTTCGGTTTTTCTGAATGAACTTCGGAACTAAGTTGAGTGACATGTAATGGGTATTGCTGGATTGTATGAATTTAAATTTACAAAAGCTGTGGTTTTGCATTTTTTAATAAAATCTTTCCACAACTCCCTTTTGAGTTTGTGACTTCCAGTTTTCCCTTAGTAGCTCCTTTGTTTATTATAAATCTTCTTTACCATTTCCCTCCCCATATATGCCCATGGTACTGGAATGCTGAAATTGGGAAATAATTTATACATATACCTTACAAAGCTAGTTAGCATTAATGTTTTTGAGACTAATCAGTAGATGGTAGACATAATATTAGCAGAAGGTTAAGAGCTTATGCAGCCACTATGACATTAATTATAATGACTTTGATTTGGTGACCTCCTGACAATCTTAACAAAATAATATAATTAATCTAAGGCTCCATTTTGTCCTGCAATAATATTAAATGATAATTAACAAACCGCAGGCTCACACATAGGTTGATGACAGCCTATGCTAGTAATAGTTGAGGTTTTGCTATCCTGGGTGCCAGAAAGTGTGACCAGAATGTACTTTTCTCGTTCTGTAGCTTGTGACCACAGATAATCTATACTGGGAAAAAAAGTTTGGGAGGTAGTCTGATTAAAACTTAAACTGCCACTAGAAATGGTTAAAAAGAAATGGACCTGGGAATTGAAATTTTTTAATGTAATGAAGGGGTTAACAATGTGTTTTCAACAACTACACAAATCTAAAATTGCACATCTTGATTTGGCATAGAAGAATATTAATATGTCTTCTAAGAAACTGAGTCAAGCTTTGGGCATAGGTCAGTAACTTCATGGTTGTGGATACATGTATATTGGCAATTGCCGCTTTTTATTTTTAAACAGATTTATGAAGCATAAAGCAAGTTCTAGAGTATACAAGAATTTGTAGCTACTGTAAGTCTAATAATGTTGAATAAGAAAATCCAAATTGGATTTTTCTGTCTTGTGTAAAAGGCTCATAATAAGGGGCTAGGAGGATAGAGACTATCTTCAGTTTACATGGAGTTGCATGTTTTCTGTTTGTATCCTGTTAGCCACAGTTTATGCATGACCTGAAGTAGTTGCAGGAAGTTTTGAGTGACCATGTGCCCGGGTTTGTTTTTGGGTTTTTTTTTTTTAAGGTTTGAACCAGTTTTTTTTTGGGGGGGAAAAAAACCATTAACCATAATAAGATGCCTTCTATATATTTTTTGAAGATTTATTTATGCATACAAAACTGGGGTACAGGTCAGAGGTGTGGTGATTTACCAGAGACAATGTGGAGAGCAGACTGATGAAGTACACTGCTGAGGGGAGCAGTGGGCGAGACAGGATCGTGTAGATCACCTCCTGGGCAGTGATCAAACTCCCACTGAAGCCACTTCTCAGTGCTGCGCTCCCACTGCACCACCAGGAAGGCCTGCCTTCTGTATTTTAACTGCATGTCCTTTTCTAATTTGAATCCATCAAGAAGCAGAATTAATCTTTAAGGTTGGCTATAATATGACAAATAGAATTGCTTTAAAGAACGGTTTTGAGGACGAAAAGCTCAAATTTTAAATAGCCCAAAGATGCCTTAATCATAAATGTAGAAAACAACTTTATGCAGAGCACAAATGCTTTATGTCTTTTTAACAGGCATGTCATGTTACCCAGAGAACTTTCCAAACAAGTACCCAAAACTCACCTGATGTCTGAAGAGGAGTGGAGGAGACTTGGTGTCCAACAGAGTCTAGGCTGGGTTCATTACATGATTCATGAACCAGGTAAGTTGCTAGTTAGCATGCTAACCTAAAATACAAGTATATATTTAGAATTTTGGTGTCCCCTCTTTGAAATTAATGCAATTATCTTCCTTTAGTTTTCTAAAGGACAGTGCTAGGTGCCATTTAAAATTACAGCTTGTGAACATGCATAGGGTGGTATTAGCCTGAAAGATTTTTAGATACTAGATAGTAAACTTAACATTAAAAATTTGTGGAATTTAATTCTTTTGGGTTATCATTAAATCTAGTGGGATTTTGAATGTTCTGAACAATTAGAAGGCATCCTATAGAAGCAGAGCTAGGTGGAGTTACAGCTCTATCTTGCTTTCCACTCTTGTTAAAGAGCATCAAAAACTCTTTAAGAAACAGCTTCCTTGGGACTAGGGGTGTATGTTTGTTTTGGAGTTTTAAAGGGTCTTTATTTAGGATAATACAAAGCAACTGAGGAACATAACTGTAGATTCCTGGCCCTTACCTACTGAAGTGTAGTCTACAAGGATAGGTCTGTGAGACCTTCATTTTTATCAGCTGTTGGTATTTAAATGAGGTGTTAAGAGATTGTTCCCAGGAAAATATAACCAATCACTTTACTTTCCACGAGGATTGACATTCTAAAGGTAGAGATCACTTTCCCTGAAGTTCTAAAGGTGTTAAAACCTGGCAAAATATTCTGATTTGTCAGATTGTTTTCTTCTGTATATTGTGGTACTGACAGTGAAGCTAACAATACATACTTTAATTAACCGTATATTTTACTTTATTTTTGGGTCAGCTGAAAATCTTTCCAATGAGTTGAAAACTCACCATATTGTATACTAAGATGATTTTTAAAATTTCTTTCCACAGAACCACATATTCTTCTCTTTAGACGACCTCTTCCAAAAGATCAACAAAAATGAAGTATATCTGGGATCGTCAATTAAATCTTTTTCAAATTTAATGTATATGTGTATATAAGGTAGTATTCAGTGAATACTTGAAAAATGTACAAATTGTTCATCCATACCTGTGCATGAGCTGTATTCTTCACAGCAACAGAGCTCAGTTAAATGCAACTGCAAGTAGGTTCCTGTAAGATGTTTAAGACAAAATTTCTTGTAGTCAAGTTGTTCTCTTAATATAAGTGCCTGTTTGACTTTACCTGTTACTTTTGTTAAATAAAGTTTGTATGTTGCATTTATCACTGAAGTTACTGAGGTTTCTTTTATTAAGGTTAATGTGTGGCAAGGAATATATTGTCCTGAGGAAATACATTTAAATATTAAATGGTCTTAAAGAGCCCAGTGTGATGAGGATACTATTTAATTGGAAGACCAATAGCCAGGGATACATTTTTTAAGATTTATTTATTCATTCATACAGAACTGGGGTACAGGCCAGAGATGCAGAGGGTGAGAGGATTCACCAGGGACAGTGGGGAGCAGAACGGGCAGATTGAGCAAAATAACACTGCTGAGGGGAGCAGCAGGAGAGGTCTGCCACCACATGTGGTGACCTCTGGGGCAGGTGGGATCGAACTCATGGGGAAGTGGCTTAAGCTTCTTAGTGCAGTGCTTTAGCCTGCTGCGCCACCAGGGAGGGCCCTGCCAGGGATAAATTTAATAGCGCATAAGACCCTAGTCTGGTGGTCTTCTATAGAAAGGGGGGGGGTGCACATTGGGAGCACAATAAGCACTGAAGGTAGTAGTGAACACTAACCCACAACCTATGCTCATCCCCAGTAACCCATCAGCTAGCTAGCCCGGTATGTAGGATCAGCAATCCAAAGATGCCAGTAAACTTCATTGCACTTGGAGTCTACCCTAAAGAGACTAGAGTGGGGACCCTCCAGCATTGGTTACTGCCCAAACTCCCAGCCCTCCCCACAATGGGGGTTTGCGTGTGTCCAGGCATGTTCGTCAACCTATGGGGCCCAGCCAGGGAAACATGGAACAGAGATGCAGGCGCTGCATTTCCTAACACATCACCCGGTGAGCATTCAACCCACGCTACCATGGGCAAGAAATAAACGCAAACCTACATTTAGCCTAAGGCACCATCAGCCCCCACAGCTCAAACTTCCACCTGGCCCCTTTAGTCCCCTTTAGTTTGCCCCTTCCCACATCACATCCTCTTAATGCCTCTGCCCCTTTGCACCGCTACCTTTCCCAGTGCTCTAATGGTCTGGATGTTTGGTGCTGGCCAGGACCCAGCAGATAAACGAAATTACTATCTGCTAGGTTAGGATCCCCGCCCTAGTCCCCAGGCTGTGGAGCTGCAGTTCCTCCACCGGCCTTAGTTCCAGCACTCCGACCCCTCCTTGCCGGCCGCAGCCGAACGCCGTCCATTGCCTTCGTAGAGACCACCCACAACCCCTCAAAGCTCGAGGAATCCTGCCCGCTCCCGAGCGGCGCTCGCTCCTGGGAAGCGCGCTGCCGGTAACAGCGCTGCTCTGACGCTGCTCTTACGGAGTCAGAGCGCAGACACCGAAGTGAGCCCGCCGCCGGCTGCGTACTTCCGCTGGAAGTAAAGCGAGCCGGGTCGCGTTTCTGTGACGCACATCCTGGCGTCGGCTCGGCAGGCGGAACAGGAAGGAGGAAAAGCGTCCCGGGTCTGTGCCGCCCCCCGACCGGGCTAGCTGCTGGGCTCCCCGGCCGGCGGCATTACCCACAGCCGCTCGCCATGGCCTCGGAGAGACAGCGGGAGCCCCCAGGCGAGGTGAGGTTGATGGCGTAGGCCGGACACTAAGTCGGGACGGCGCGGGCGGCGGGTGGGCATCGGATAACTGAACCCCGGGGCGCGCCTTCACTGCCACGGCCAAAGGCAGTGAGGAATGCGCTTGTTCGGGACCCTGGCTGGTCTCGAGGCTGCGGGCACTTGCGGCCATATCCGAGAGGAGCTTGTTAAAGCTCTGTGCTCGAGGCGCTCCGCTTGACCGCCAGATGGAGCCGTAGTGACCGTGCAAATGGGCTTTCAGGCGAATTAAAAACATCTGGGTAAAAAATTATAAAGGTAAATTACGTGGTAGGGTTTAAAAACCAAAAATCAAAGCAAATACAAAACAACTTCCTGGGGCTCGCGGCGATAATAATTATTTAAAAAGATAACTTGTAGTGGTTCATTTGAGTTAAAAACCAGTGTTGCGTGTAACTGGTTTTGAGAAAAATGCTATGGAAGTCGGCTTTCAAATGTGTTACAGTTAAGCATTTCTGGGGGATATTTGCCCACAGTTGCTCGGTTTTCCCTAACTAGCGTTGACGGGTAAAATAAAATTAAGGAACCATTGTTACTTGTAGTCCTAATTTTAATATATTATCTGGATTTGAATTTTACTTTTAATTGCTTGCTTGCATTTTTCACTTTTAATATTTCATAACCACTTTTTCTAGTAAAAAGCATTTATGGAGAAATTGAGCAAAATGTTTGTCTTTATTAGGTAGAAATATTTGAACAACCACACTGGTATCAGCATTTTGGTATTGCTGCAACTCAGCGACTCTCATGGGGGTGGGAGGTGGTTTGTTTATATTTGGTTGATCTCAAAATGTAAGTAGCCAGAACCCCTTTTTTTCCCCTCAGGGTATCAAGTTGTCAGCAGATGTGAAACCGTTTGTCCCCAAATTTGCTGGGCTCAGTGTGGCATGGACAGAGTCTTCAGAAGCTTGTGTGTTGCCTAGCTGTGCAGCCCCATACTACCCAGGTGTTCAGGAACTGCCGGTACCTGAGTATGTATCCTAAAGGTCTTGAGTACCTGGGGACCTTCCAACACATGAGAGTTAGGGCAACTAGACAGTGCTGCTCAGCCAAGAAAGGTCTGAGCCCGCAGCACACTTAGCTGTATACTGAAAAATGGAGTTTCAGCTGTCCTTTTTCCATACCCACCTGATTACTCTAGGCATAGAAAGTATGGAGACTTTATTAGTAATTAGTGGGAAAAGCACATTCAGTGTTCATTTGTGCATGTTGCTTAACACTATATTAAATATCTGAAGATAAAATGACAGAATGCTGGGGCAGTGAATGGGGCAGAGCAAAACCCAAATAGATAGCCTGTTTTTGGTTTTAGAGTTTAATGTTTAAAAATACTCAAGGACAGAGAGGCTAGCAAACATCACAGCCTCTGTGGTTAACTTTTTGGAAGTTGCTGGATTTTGCTTTTGACACAAATTCTGCTTATAAATGTTTTACAATTTGAGTTGGTAGAGGCTTAGGATGCCCTTTAAATTTGCTTTATCCTTTTACAGATTGGTTCTAGGCATTCGCAAAATGGTTTTCATTATTAGATGAATTTAGAAAAACAATGTTAAGTCTTTCATATAATCGTGTAGGATACTTGCAGATTTATTTTGAAGGCATGTATGACTTTTTGGCTTAGTTAAGAATCCTTGTCTTTATATTCCTTGATATAGGTCAAATGTAGTGGTGGTGGTGGTATTTTTTCCTCATGTCTGTATATTGTGGTTGAAAATAATAAATACTTCATATACATTCTTGAATTGTATGCACAAGAATGAAAACTGAAAGCATAAAAAAATCAGGGAGTTATCTGGTATATTTAGGAAATGTTGAAAATTATTTTCTATTTTTTGACAAAAATTAAAACTATGTGTTGAAGGTTTTTGGTAGAAATACCCAAGTTTTCCACTGTAATTCTACTCTCTGTAAATGGTTGGCAAGGGTCTCACTTGAGTTCCTTGTGTGAGATGACTCACAAAATACAAAATGTATGTCACTCGTGCCAAGGACTATAGGGCACCTGCCAGGTAGAATTCCAGTTACCTAAAATGAAGGTGGAAAACATTCCTGTAGCTCAAGCAGTAGCCTGGCAGTGCCCTGACGCTCAAGGGTGCACAGTGCTTAGTTTAAAATTTTCATTTCTTAAGCCCTTATTCCTTTTTAGCTTTGACTCTTCGATATTGTTTATAACCAAGAAAAGGATTGGTTTATGATATTCTGCCTGGAAAGAAAACAGGCTAAAGGAAGCATGAAACCAATTTAGGGAGGACAAAAACCTTGAAAATGAAATGAAATGGTGAGAGTCTACAGTTGAAAGTTGATTAGTCAATTCTTATGTAACACTTGGATCTTTACAGTCAGATTCACTCCAATGGAAATCTCTTGCTGCTGTGAAAAAGCAGGGTAGACTTTCCTTAACAGACCTATTTTTTCGTTGTTATTTGTTCTGCTCTAGGAATCTAAATCTATGTTCCCTTCCCATGCCTTTCCTAAAAGAGGGTAGACACTTTTACAGAATCTTTGCACCTCCTCCCTGTACAACTAACAGTGCCCTGAAAGGGGTTCATTTGTTCAGTTGCAGTTAATCATTGAAAGGAAAGCATTAGATGCTAAGGGGCGAAGGCTGTCCTGCGAAGCTACTCACCTTTTTCTCTCTCATGGATTTGAACTTACGGAGAGAAAAGGAAATGCTCCAGTCTTCTCTGCATTGATGTTAGAGATGAAAATTGTCAGTGGAAGTACTCTGACACATGGAGTTTGCGGTGTTAGGGAAGTTCTGATTATTCCGTGAAATGAACAAATAGAGTGATGCACCCATAGTCCTTGCTTTGGGACAAGCCCTGTGAACATGCACTTTAGGTTTGTGGATTTGGTTTGGGTGTTACATACATCCATTTCTTTTGGGCAGGCTAGTCCACGATGAGATGTGAAGTGCTATTTTTCTCACTGAAGAAATGTTTGTCCCAAGTTTCTCAGCCCAGCAGCACTGGAACCAGAATTCGCATTCAGTTCTATCCCGAGTTCGGTCCTATTCCCCAAAGCTGCTGTTGCTGAAGGCAAGTTTGTTGAGCATTTTCAGCATCTTGCAATTGACTGGAAATTTCACAGTGCACTGGTAGGTGCTTTCAGTTAAAACCTCTCAGCTATAGGACCAGCATTCTTAGCGGAGTCGGGCCTATCTCTGCATGGCTGGGGTCAGAATAGCAGGTAGAGGAGTGACTGGATCCCTGACAGTGCAAGATGTGTGTTGGAGCCAGTCGAAGACTAAGGATCAGCTACGAGGGGTGGTTGCTAATAGATTGAAAGCCTATATGGAACAGCTGAGACGTTTAGGTTTGCTGAGTGGGAAATAGGGAACTTTTGTTGGTAGTTGGAATGGAGTCATGATAATTGCACCTGGTTCCCATTAGACTTGAAGTGTTTGATGGCGTTGACTGCCAGGCACTAGGAAGAGGACAAAATAGAGGGAGACCTGCTGCAGGAAACATGGACTCCTTGGTTGTTCATCTGGCCTCCAGCAGCAAAGATGGCATTGGGGTCTACAGTTGAGTTCATGAAAGGAATTGAGTATCATTATGAGAACACAAGTGTGAAGAGGGGTTGGTTGTGGGGACCACATGTTAAGGCGGAACTCATGTATGGGATGGGGGAAATGAATGATGAAGAGTACACGATCTGGCCGGAACTTGGCGAAGGTGCTGGATTGCAAGTGTCTGAGATTCGAGAAACAGTGAAAGTGTTGGACTCAGAATATTCTGACTGACAGGCAGAGTGGAGTGGCGACCAGACCACAGAAGAGCAAGAGCAAGGAGAGTCCAGATTTGCAGGTCCCGGCCCAGGGAGCTTCCCAGTGACATGACACTGTGGCCAGACTGGACAGTTGCCTGGCAGAAGGGTGGCTTAGCTGACAGGAAGGAAGTCCTGGGGCACTTGGGACTACTTTAGAACTGAGAGAGCAAGAGTGGAGCTAAACATCAGCGGGAGTTGTGCACATGCCTGGGAGCTTAGGTGTAGGCTGTGAGTGCTGACCTCAGAGGGGGACTAAAGGAGTGATATGACCAGGTACAGTCATGTGGCCTGTTGATGGGGCGAGGGACTCTACAGCTGGACCGTTCAGAGCCACAGCAAGTGCTGTGGTTGTTTCTGTGAGATGCTGGTGTTGCCTCTGCATATACTGCATTTGCCTTGGATAGGAAGGGAAACTCCACTTCCCAGAGGAAGAGGGTCGTGAGTTGTTCAGGGTAGAAAATGAAGTTGTGAGCAGGACACAGACTAACATCTCCAGACTGGTATGAATAAAAGAGGTGATAACAGTCTTCAAACCCACGTCTGGATCCTGCCCCTGTTTTCTTCTTGACATCAATTTCATTGATGTCTTCATTTGTTCATTTTTGGATTTGTGACATCACCTTTCCATTTTTGCTATTGACCATTCTTTTGTGAACAGATTTTTCACCTTCATCTACTCCTTAGTAGATTATCTGAGCATCAGATATAAGAAAATGGGGTTTTACTTTGTAGGGGAAGTGCCTGGACAGCTGATTCCTCTTTGGGGAGCAACACTAGGCCATGTGATCTGTGGGGCAGGGCAAAACCAAGGAAAGGTTGTGAATTGATTCTTAACGAGGTGTATTTCATTACTAGCGTTTTTCATTTCCGAAATTTACAAAAACGGCCACTGGGGCTTACGTGTGGAAATGTAAAGATTATGATTTGGATTTTTAACTCAAATGCTCAGCATTTCATTTTATATTAGTTTTCATCGAAAAATGGTTGACAGCTCAGCTGAATACCAAATACATTCAAAAAATAAAATCAGTGTAAATTATATTTTGACTTAGTCCAGCAACTTGAGCAAATTGCAGCGGAGGCTGTGTTCAGCGTCCCTTTTCTCAGAGGGATGCGCAGTTCTTGGGCCACCTGGAGCATGGTGCCCCTGCGGCTCTGACCTGCCAGTCAGCACAGCCCAGGATGGTGGGGGCTGGAGGAGACGAGCCAGGTGGAGGTGGGATTTGGGCAGTAGGGGCACCAGGAAAGCCCCCTCTGAGAGAGACTGGGCTGGATGCCCTGTGGCTGGGGTTGGTAAGAGGAGCTTCCCCAGCCCTTTGACATCGTGAGTGCAGAAAGCTGCTGGGGCTTCCTCCCGTGGGCTGTCTCCATGTTGCCTTCTTGTCATGGGTGTTCTGCTTTGGGAGTGAAAACAGAATTAGGTCAGCATTTTTCTTTGCGGGCAAAGAATGTTAGAGGCTCTGTTTGGCTTTTAGAGTTAGCTTCACTGCCAGAATGAACGACCTCCAGAATAAAAGTTTAAATGAAGTTATTACAATCTGTTAAGCTCCTGGGTGTGAAATCCGCACCTTAAATTCACCCTTTTATTTAGACAGAAGCACTGTACTGAAGATAGGACCCTTGGAGCGTCATCTTTTTCACCTCAGCATCTGCCTTCCGAGATGGCGCTTCACCCCTATGCCTACTCCCCCTACACCCTTGAATCTACGCAGAATGTCTGCCCAGTGCCTGGCTCCCAGTATGACTACAGCCAGCCCCGTTGTTACCGAGGCTTTCAAACGGCGAAACGCCATGAGCACATGGGTCCCCTCCCACAGGACTCAAAAGCTCTGTTTAAGGTCAGTCAATGCTGTGATTTTGTTGGTCACTTCCAGCATTTAAAATGTAAAGAACTGGTTCATTCTTGCATGATATTTACATTGTCTTTTTTGTGGTATTGAAGATTTCACTGGGTCTAATGTTTTTGAAAATTCAAAAGTGAGTTTGTAAACATTTTTTTAGAGTGGTCGTTTTTTTAATTGAAGAAATTTTTTATCTTTCCTGCAGAAAAAAACATACGATGAGCAAAAGTTTGACAATAAGAAGGCTGATGGAGCTCTTTCATCTGATATAAAATCAGTTAAGGGTTCCCATCCTATGTCCACTCATGCTGAAAATAGTTTGAAATCAGGTAAAGATAAGTCTGCAGTGTCGCATCTTCCTGCACCCCAGAAATGTACCACACTCTGCATCTCCCTGTGGGCTGACTTGTCAAGAAGAGCTGAGACCCTCAGACTCCATGTGGGGTCCTGGAGACCTTTCCTTTCTGGAGGGACCTGTTGTTGTGGGCTCTGTGATGTCTCCTTAGTGTGTATTACCTGATTTTTTTTTTTGTGAGAATGAGACCACAGAGCAAATAAGTGACAGCCGCACGTCTCAGGGCATGTTATTAAATACAAGCGAGTCACAGCCTTAGTCTTCATACTGTATTTGACTTTGTTCCTTCTTGAAGTCACTTTTGTGTTGTTAGGAAACTTTCTAATGGATGGGAGAGTCTGTGGTTGGAATCCCATCCTTAAGGCCAAATTTGGGTCAGTGTAGTTAGTCCAAGACACCATTTTCATTCATGACAAAAAAGTCATGTCTGTTCTGGGCTTAGAATTGACCATTCCTGTATTTCTACATACGGTTGTTTTTTCCTGAGAATTTATTTGTTAGTGCAGTTTAGTCACACACAAGGCCTACTTCTAAAAAGATTTAGAACTTTTGTCTTAGTGTATTTACTAGGAATGGTCAGTTTATTTTCGTGTATGAAAAATGGCATATAAATTTTTCTCTTTGGGTTAATTTCACATATGAACCACTTGGCACATGACACTGTGAAAGGAAAGTTGAAGAGTGAGCTGGAGTAACTGACCTTACAATTAAAAGCAAGGGATTGATGGCTTTGCCACCTTCATTTGCACTTGAAGGAGAAACATGGGGGAAAAGTTGTAGGTTTCATTCTACTTGCTTTCCTCCAGTTCCATCCAGCAAACTAAAAGAGAGACACTATTACTTAAGGGAAAATTTTTGGAGTCCTGTAGAATTTGCAAAGCAATCAAGTTATATTAGGAACATTTAATATGCCCAGCTGTACAATAAAGTTACAGTAACTGTTTCATCACCTGAGAATTCCCCATAAAATTTGCAGTTTGTTTCACTTTCCCTGTGTCTCAGCCAGAAGCAAAAGTCTCCTGGTCATGTATGATTTACACTGTTATACTGAAGGTTAACAGCGCTGGCAGGTGTTTGGACGGTAGCATGTTGTTGCAGCAACAGCAATAGATTTTATACCCTGGAACTTAAATGTCATGGATGTCATTGAACAACACCTGAGTGTCTGTTTCTGTGAATACAGATGGGTGTCATAAACGCACAGACAGGAAATCCAGAATCATTGAAAAAAGCGGCCCTGTCTCCACACCTGAGTTTGAATTTACCAGGTTGGATTTTCCTGAACTGCAGGGTTCAGAGAACAGCGAGAGATCAGAGAATCAAAAACCACCCAAGTGGGGACCTTTACGCTCTGCCTCAACCAACATTTCTCTCCTGAGAGAAGTGGGGAAACCTGTTGCAGTGTTATCAGAGGTGAGTGAAGGCCTGCTCTTGTTTCCTTCTCTCCTTCCTCTTCTCAGAGCATGCCTTCTCAAGTCCCTCACTTCCAGCAGTACTCACAGTGTCTCTCAGAGGACGCCTGGGTGGCCTTCCCTGGCGTTCAGACCCTTCACACTCAGTGATGCTCAGTGCTTCTTTGTGTCTGGTAGCTAATGGGCATTGTAGTGCCTCAGAAGAAGGTTGCAGCACGAGTCCAGCTGCTTAGATAGTCCATCGTGAACACCTCATTTCTGGTATTGCATTCTGACAGCATTTTTTCCAATATAGAGAGGTGTGTTTTTTTTTTAATCCAATTGTAATATTTAAAACTGCACAGTGGTATTTTCCAGACTTTTTGTCTGTTCCTATTTTGTTAATGATACAGTAGATTCAGCAGAGTTGGCCACAAATGCCTTCAGTTTGCTGCTTTGTAGCTTTAAATTGCACTATAGTCAACGTTCCATCTCATTTAGCCTACCAATTTGAGGCATTTCCTCTCAAGCATATATATTTGAGACTTTGGGGAAAGAAGTATTATTTAGGGATTTGTTGTCTCTAAACTTAGTTCTGCCAGATCTCCACTCCACTGGAGTATGAAGGCAGGGACAGAAATCGGGAAGAACACCGGGCTCACCATTGACTTGGCTCTTGAATGGAGAAGGGGTCTTTGTCTCCCATCTTGTGCTTCTCTTGTTGCCTGGATACTGACGCCTGTGGGCTCTGCCGTAGTAGCTTCTGCTCGATCACTGTAGAAGATTCCCCGTTTCCTTGGCAGGTGTGTGACTGCTTTCTGGGCTTGGCTGTGCACTGGGTAGCCGAGTGGGCGATGAGTTGTGCCTGGTGGCTAGAGACAATTTCCAAGCCCATAGTGCTCCTTGGAAGTAGGAATTTGGGATTGTGTGTACATACGGGAGTGTGTTTGAGTTTCTAAAAATGATTGCGGCGCTCATGTCATCTTGTAGCCTTTGAAAACAGAACCATTGCATTGATCTTTGATACTAATGCATAATGAATTTTTCATTGCTCTTGGTGAACAAAGTTATTTTTTCTAAAAGAACAGGCTGTGTTCAAATACTTTTATTTCTTCATCAAGCTGTAATGAAGTGGCAGAATGTGAACATTTATCAAGTATAGAACTTTTAGCATTTATGTCAGTCCATTCACGTTTGAATGGGTCAGTTCCCCTTTACCTTCACTGCTGCCAGTCACTTTGAGGAGTCTCTGAGTGTCCCCCTACCCCACCCCTGTTGTAAGTGTCCTTTACTGCCTTTTATTCCATGCATGTGGTCGATTCCCACAGTAAAGGGTGCATGTTTTACGAGGCTCATACTCGTTGTCTTTGTGGTGACCTGAGTGGTGTTTGGAAACTTTGGTGCAGAGATGGTGACCCGTGGCACTCACATGCATGTGGGCACTGCGGCTTTGGGAACCATGCAGGTGCCTTTGCACTAACCTGGGAAGCGGTGTGTTTGTTGGCTTTTTAAAAGTTGCATGCTGTTAGGTGCGGTGTGAGCCTGTTGGAGTCCATGTGAAGATGCCATACACATGTTTATTTTCTAGCAGGTTGCTAGTTCAACAGTAGCTGTAGACAGTCTATAGTTTTTCCTCTAGGGAAGGAGATTTGGCAGGGGAAGTGATTTAAATTTTCACATTATGTGCTTTTGGATTTGAACTTTTTAATTAGCATGTGTTTTTGCAGAATTTAAGATGAGCAAGGGAATATAATTAAGTTAAATGATTACTTTAGATCAGAAATAGTAAGAAATAACTGGTTTGCTTTTTAGGGTGAAATAGTGGTGAAAAAAAATAATCCAGCTGAATCTGTAACTGATAATGCTGCTGCCAATCCCTCTTCATGTATAAGAGGTAAGAGTGGCTAACATTATTTTAAAAAATTAGTTGTCATTCCTGAGTTCATTTTTAGTCCAGTACAGATGTGGAATATTTTGTTTGAAGGCCTTCTTGAAGGCAAATGATGAGTTGCTGAAAAACTCACCTTGTTGTTAGTCAAGAAGATTAGCATAAGTACATGAGACCCCCAAGGAGCGTCAGACATGGCAGAGATTTCTAAATATTTGTCTGGTTAAATGGGAAGTTTTATGAACTCAGAAATGACTGCTTCCTTATTACCTGTTGTCAGTGGTTCTCAGAGTTTGTTTCAGGCCCCTTAATGCTCTTTTAAAAAGGCCACTAAGAGTTTCTGCTTACATGGCTAACTGCCATCATTTGCGATATTTGAAGTTAATATGGAGAACTTTCAAAGTTCTATTTCTCTTTAAAGCAGCAATTTCTTGTTACATAACACTCATTTAAAATAACTTCTGAAGTTAAAACTGCTGTGAGGAGAGCAGCTTTGTACACTCGTCAGCCTGTCGTCACCTGGCTCGACACCTGCTGCGGCATTTGGCTGGGTCACATTCTCAGCCCTGCAGCACCTGTAGGGTTCCCTGCGTGCCCAGGGGAGCAAGAGAGGGCAAGGCGGCATGAGCCCTTGAAAGGGTCCTGGGAGCTTCTGCTCTCACTTCGAAAACTACTACTGCTGGTCTATTCTGGCCAAGAAGTAATGTATTCATGGCGCCGTCAGAAAAGATTCTGCTCTTGAAAATATTCTAACTTGCTTTTCTGGAAAGCACATACAGCATGATTCCAGGGAGAACCACAGGTGTGTTTCTTCTGCGTTCTCACGTCTAGTACATGCGTTGTTCAGGAAAGCTTTTCCCTGCAGGGCTGATCTCAGGACGTGCAGCTCTGTGTCGATGAGGACTGCCTGCCTCGCCTTCTGGGGGCGGGCTGTGGCCCCGATCTGGCCCCGTCCTCATGGCCCCGTCCTCACGGCTGTCCTTTTGTTCCATCTGTATAGAGAGTTTCATGGGCGCCTGAGGACCAGTGTTCTGTACTTACGCCTGTGTCTTAAAAAGAAATAAATTACCAATTATTGTGATAGCTAGTGATCTTTGACTTCTGCTGTTACAGGTACACAACAAGGTTAGTAGGGCCAAATTTTTATCTTTAGTCCATTGATTCTGTGTGTTTACTCGTGGACATAACTGTGGATTGTTGTTTAACCTAAATGATTGTTTGTTTCCCCACCTGCACCCCCAAGTTAAACAACTAGTTTCTAGGAAAGTCAGTTAATCTTAAATTCAGCATGCCTGTTCCAGGAATAAAAATAAAGCTTAGTGTACTGTAGTTTCCAAGAGAATGTTTTGAATAATACCCTATTTTAAATTGTGCCCTGAGTAACTACCTCATATAATGCATGTATGAAATTTCTAAGGCGTTCCTCTTTTACCGTTGAAAAGTTCAACAATTTTGGTTATCTTTGAGCAGAGTTATCTTGGACACCAATGGGTTATGTTGTTCGGCAGACATTACCTACACAACTGTCACCAGCCCCTAAACATGTTACTTCCATGATAAACCCAAAGACGGTTCCTTCATCAGCAGATCCTAAAACTGTTAGTCTGTCATCTCCTAAAGTTTTACCTTCGGATCCTTCTTCCAAAGAGAAACACGTTACCCACCCTTCTAAAAAGGTATGCGTCATGTTTTGATTTTGTTGATCTCTGTACCACGAGAGAATCTTTGCTTTCTCTCCAGTCCAAAGTGAAAGTTTCATTCTGTACTGTTGTCGCTTGTCTGAGTTGGTTGTGCTTGGATCTTGAAAAAATCCGCCATCCGTCAGGAACACGAGTGGTAGCTTTTGTACAGGAAGTGCGGATGTGCACTCCAGACCTCTCACGTGTCTGCCAGCCACTTGTCCTCACAGCAGTCTTGGCATGATTTAAGCTCTGGTCTATGAAGTTGCTGCCTCCTCTCCCCCCTCCCCCTGGTTGTTTTATTTTAATTGCTTTTTTACCTACTAGGGTACTGTTAACATTTTAATTCCACATTTTGCAATCATCTGGTGTATGTCACTGATCCTTGCAGTTTATTGCAGTGAATCTTGCAAATACGCAAAATTGAAATTTATTTGCTCATTGTAAGATAGCATTTCAGAATTCATTTTTTCTCTTCAAATAAAGCTGTCATTGTATTGATGCCTAGATTTGTTTCTTATAGAGCCTTTTTTTTTTTTTTTAATCTAGACTTTGTTCCTGATTTTCATTGTTAACAATGTTATTTTTTGGTTGAAACGTGCTTGCATTTGTTTAGTGCCGTGGTTTCCTAGCTTTCTCAGTGTGTAAGTACTGTCTGACTGATTATGGTACATAGGCCATCCTCTGCTGATGGGAGTGGTGTGGCCTTACTTAGGTAACTAGGAAAGTGTGCAGGGGACAGTTTGTGAGGTGCTGGGCCTGTGGTGAGACACCCTCAGAGCGCACACATGCACACACACAGGCTGTGGCTGGCTCTGGGCTCTGCTGCCCAATGAGCCTCTGACTGGAGCAGCACTGTGGCCTCCACTTCGCAGTTGGAACCAGTTTCCTTAATACACAGTAAAATATGGAGGGTTAACAGATCTTATTTCATTTTCCCAGAGCCTTGAATCATAGGTATATGAAAAGTGAATTTTAGAAAAGGTCCAAAGTAAAGAAAGTGCAGCTGTCCTGTTGTCTCATATCCCAGATGACTTTGCGTCGTGCCATAAAGCTTTGTCTGTGTTGTGAAATGACAAATTTAATACAAGGATCTAGTCATGGAAAAGGGTTTGGTTCCACTCCCAGGGAGGCCTGTGTTGACTCAGACTCCTGAAAACTACAGCATTTGTTTTGTTTTTTAAATAGAAATTCAATCATTCAGTGCACATTACCTCTGAAATTTCCCTTCTCGTGTAGCACAGCCTCACGGCCAGCGCCTCTCAGCCAGTAGATAAGTATTCCTAGCCACTGAGGCTTCTTCTCAGGGTGTTCATTCCCACTGTGGTAAAGCAGGGCCCAAGCATGCAAAGGCCCTGAGCACTTCAGCCTCTATCACCCCTGTATGCAGGTGGTGCAGATTTGACTGGTGGGAAGTAGTACCCCAGAGAGCCAGGGAGCGAGAGGTTAGAGGCTAGGGTCACATCATGCTGAAGTGGTGAGCAGACTGGCTGGATCCCTGTGAGTGTAAGTCCTGAGGTCCTGAGACTAGAGCGCCTGTGACCAAGAGGGCTGAGCGGGGAGAGTGGCAATGTGAAGTCAGACTCCGCAGGTCTGGGGTGATTCCAGGAGTTTTGATTCCAAGCTCCCACAGTGGCTCTCATAACCGGTCAGCTTTAGGGAACAGGAGCCCTGATGGTAGAAACAGCAGGCCTGGCTTTCTGTGGAAATTCATGTGGGTATTAGTAGATTCACGACCTCCGCAAGCTGGAGACCAGGGTATGTCCATCTCTGCCGGTTTCCAAATAATTGCATGCAACAACTACTTGACTTCCTCCTCCCCCCCCCCCACTTTAGAATTAGTCTACTGAATGCTGGCTCCTTAAAAAATAGGGACTGAGGTGCTGATCTCTAAATAAAATGCCATGTGCTTCTCTAACTTGATATTGTACTCTATACATGGAATTAAAGAGTCTGTTGATGTCTTCCTAAAAACCCAGGATTTTTGTTCTGTTTTTTGTTCTAGCCCAAAGCAGCACAATGTGGTGATCCTGAGCAAAGTGAAGTCTCGAGAAAAAATAAGAGAAAGAAAGAAAAGTCAGAACCAAACTATGAAGTCTTGACAGTTCAAGAGCCGCCAAGGATTGAAGTATATTTTTATCTATCACTCTCTTTGTATGATGTAATAAACGGTTATTTCCTAAGAGAAGTATGGGTTCGTAGAGGTTTCCTGAGTGAACAACCGCAAACATTTCTTCAGTAACCGTTTTCCTATTGCCACAGAACTAGTCTCCCATTTCTGTCCTTCGTTTCATTGCCCAGCCCGGTGCCCTCTCAGACCAGGCGCTCAGCGTCCAGACGGGTGAATGGCGGAGACCAAATACTGCATTGAAATTTGGTCGTGTGTGTTCCACAAACTAATCTCCTCCCTTTGGTGGTGGTTCTCTTTGCTTTAGCATGCTTAGTTTTGCAGGGCCTCCTTTTCTATCCAGAAATCTTAGAATATAAATATAAATCTTGGCTATAGGGAAATTTAGCGTACTAAATAGATCTGTTGTGGGCCTCATCAGGAGACTGTCATGAACTTGCAAGGGCATTCTAAATTGTGGTACTCCATAATACCCCTGGCTTGCAGTGAGCCATCTTTGGTTCAAAGTTTCCCCTCAGCCTGCAGAACTACTCAGCAGCCTGGCTCCTGCGCACCTGCAGAAAAGTCTTGGGTTTGCACCCAGATGTCTCCCTTAGGGTCGAGACCCAGTTGTTCCCACAAATCTGGGGAATGCCCATGGCTCTTGGAACATTTCTTTGAGAATAGTGGGGCTGCATGTTTGCAGACCTATGGCCATGGCAACCATTTGGGCCAACAAATAGTTCCTATTTCTACCCCTTTTTTCTTGTATCACTTCTTCAAGGCATCTACAACAGCATATAGGACATTTTAAAGTGATTTAGACATTATTTAAAGGCCTATCGCCTTTTCTTTTTTCTAGCTTGAAGTCAGCACACACAACAGAAAACATATGTCTCCTGAGTTGGGACTGATGGTTCTCAATGAAAACGCCATTGAGGGCTGGTGCTCGAGCTCAGCCAGGACAGTCCCCTGGGCCGCTCAGGTGTACCCACCGCCCTGGAGCCCCTGCTCGCGCTCACTCGCCAGGGGTGTAGACCTGGGCTTTTTAATTTTGTTCTGAGAGTATAGAAATGGGGAAGCACTTTTCTGACAGTTTGGGCTGCTTTAATTCATCTTTGAATACTTTTAGGGGAACTTGTACAAGGAAAATGTGAGCAGGGAAATAAACACTTGTACTTGGGCATCTTTGATCCTCATGTGTCACCAGAGCTAAAAGGTGTGTGGTTTACTTAGGATGCTGAGGAGTTCCCCAACCTGGCAGTTGCATCTGAAAGAAGAGACAGGGTAGACTCACCGAAGTTTCCATCTAAACAACAGCCACAGGTAATTTTTAGATCAAAACAAGTTGCCATGTGCTTAAATTAACTTGCTAAAATTAAATTCTTAAGGGAAAACTGCTTGCCAGACTTCTTTGTGTAGACAGGTGGTTTTGTTTTGGCTCATTGCCTCCACGGGCGTGTCAACTGCAGCAGTCGGCCCCTCTTGTAGTCAGACTCTGCTAACTGGCACCGCTCTCTCGGAAGCAAGTAGCACAGCTGCCTTGAAACTTGGGTTTAAAGAAAAAGCTCAGTTTCTTCTGGAAAGACACTCCTGAAGGCAGTAGTGTCTGAAAAGGAAGAGAGTCACTCAAATTTAATTCTAAGTAGCCAAACCAGGCGAGGAGGTGCTTTTCCTGTGCCCCAGCCCCCTGAGCGTCCGAGGTGACCTCGTGGCACGTCATCTGCATGGGAATCATGCACATTTTGGCCATTTCTGTCCTAGCACATTCATTGTCACGTCACTTTTAAGAGGAGACAATTGTGTTCACATTTGTGAAAAGTAAAATTCCAGACTCCTGTGCAGATTAACTTTGAATTGTGATCTCCTCTCCCTTTGGAGGGTTCTGAGCATCTTCGCTGTCCTTGGCTCTCAGCCTTCAGCTAGTGCCAAGCAAGAGACAGGCATGAAGGCATCAGCGCACAGGAGGCCATGGGCCTACAAGCCTTTTCAGATGGTTTCAAAACCCAGATAACAACTATTTCAGAAATAGCATTTGCTTAAATGTTTGTTTACTAAACTTTGTGCCAAGTTTAGTACTTCGCTGCTAGGTGTCATGTGACTGGTTTAAATTTTTGGTGCGATCCAGTGGTCTCAAGGCAGCTGGTTAGCTCAACTAAATGAGGCTGTTGGAGAGTGAATGAGCTAAGGAGGCAGTGAAATTAGCCCATTAGCTAACATACAGATTTTTTGTGCAAAAACTTCCTGCAAGCCTTGCTGTCTTGACCATGGCTGATCCTTGTTATTCATGCGGATGCAATAGACAGAACTTTATGTGGTTTGATATGAACCCAGTGTTATGAAAGGAGGAAATAAACAACCACGCTTATAGTATTTTTAAGTATATGACTTGTACAATTGAAAAGCTCAGTTGGTAAAATTATGGTATTAACAAATTTCTGGGTTTTAAAAATTTTTTAGAATAACTTTAAAAACAGTGCAAAGAAGAGCCAAATTCCTGTCCAGTTGGATTTGGGGGGAATGCTGACAGCCCTGGAGAAGAAGCAGCATGCCCAGAATGCGAAGCAGTCCTCCAAGCCAGTGGTGTTCTCAGGTGAGAGGCTGTTCATCTCAGGCCGGTGGTCAGGTGGCCTTCACACTATTTTGGGACTGTTTTCTCTTGTAAGCAAAAGTCATTTCTAAAATACATACACATATTTTTATCCATATACCCACAAATTAAATTATGTCACCTACATAAACATTAAAGTTTGGTTTTGTATAATCGTAGCAGTATTATAGTGGAGTAAGGGTAGCTATATATAGACCAGTGAAACAGAATTGAGTCTAGAAATAAACCCACATACCTGTGATCAGGGGACCTTTGACAAAGGGTGCTAATAAATTCATTAGAAGAACAGAGATCAGTATCTTCCAAAATGGCACTGGGACACCTGTGTTTCTACATGCTCAAGGATGAAGCTGGACCCCTCATCCCATACCATATATAAAAATGAGCTCAGAGTGGATCATTTCCCTAAGTGTAAGAGCTAACATTGAAAAACTCTGAGAAGAAAACAAGGATAAATCTGCATTACCTTGGGCTAGACAGTGACTCTTCTGATGGGGCACCAAAATACAGCTACAAAGGCCAAAGTAGATTGCATCTTATCAAAATTAAAAGCTCGTGTGTAGCAGGGAGCAGTATCAGGGAAGTGAAAAGACTCCTTAGAGACTGCTGTAGAGGAGTTTAGAAGGAAAAAAAAAATCTAAAGTGTGTATCTAATGAGGGTAGCCAGGTATGTAAGAACTTCTGTGACTCAGCAGCAAAGACAGACACCACTAAAGTGCATAAAGGGCTGGAAAAGACAAATGGTTGACGACACAGGAAACCTGCCCAGCATTGTAGTCATGAGGGAAGTGCAGATCGGGCCCGCGGAGAGAGGGTGCTTCATACCTGGCGCGATGACTGTAATCGAAACCATGGAAGACACCAAGCATGGGCAAAACTCGCTCCTGTGCATTGCTGCTGGTGCTGTGAACGGTGGAGCGCCTGCCGAGGGGCGGAATGTGCTGAACAACTAATCCGAGCCAGCAGTTCTACTCCTGCTCACCCAAAAGCATTAGGAACAGACTGAGCCCCTCGGGCGCCAGTGTCCCACAGCAGTGTCTTTCCTGAGAGCCGGAAGGTGCCCACGCCCCAGTTGTCCATCCGCCCTTGAATGAATAAACGAAGTGGTATATGTACACCTGTGATGGAATCGTGGGCTCTGTGTTTCCTGGAAGCATCTGGCCCCTGCACTTCTTCTTAGGCTTCTTTCTGGCAGCACAGTTTTGAGATTTACTCGTGTATGTCATTTCTTTTGTTTATCACAAACAAAAAGTGAAATTCATGCCGTGGAAAAGCAACCCATCTGAAGTATCCAGATCAGTGGCGTTTAGTACATCCACTGTGCTGTTTCATCACCTCAAAAAAAGCCTCTAACTGTTCATCTCCCAGTGCCGTCATAACCCAGCCCCTGGCACCCACTCATGTACATTTTCTCTGAATTACCTAGTGTGGCAGTTTAGAGAAATGGGATAACACAGCTTGTCACCTTTTGTTTCCCTAATACCTGGCTCCAGTACTTAACTACATCTTGCCCATCTCGTTAAATCTGTCCCCTGCTTTTTTCACCCTGACTTATTTTGAAGCACTCTGAGAACATCATACTAACTCCTCATTTCGCATCTATAACTGATGATCCTCTCTCCCTTAATAATACAGATGTAGCCTGCCTGTATTTAAATGTCTGACTTGGTCTGACAGTTCTTTTGGGTTCTTGCCAGAAATACTAGGCTTCATGGAATACCTTGGCCATTTGAAAGACTATCCAAGGGACAGCATGGCACGGACGAGCAAGACAACTGGAATGGCATGGGTGGTCTCGCTCGCCCAGCCCAGCATGTCTGAGGGGTGACCCCAAAGGGTGGGCAGGAGGCATGTGTCCTCGATCATGGCTGTGAGATGTGTCCCCATTGCATTGCAGTCGGGGCCGTGCCTGTCCTCTCCAAAGAGGCGGCGTCTGGGAAGAAGGGCCACCGCTTCAGTGAGGTGAAGACCCCGCACAACCCCTTGGACTCCAGTGCCCCTCTGACGAAGAAGGGGAAGCAGAGGGAGGTCCCCAAGGCCAAGAAACCAACCTCACTGAAGAAGGTGCGTGGCTTCCTGTGCCAGTGGGGGCCGGGACTCCATAGCTCTCTCGCTGGCACCCGGACATGAGGTGGTAATACCCTGTCTTTATTTGAATGCATTGTAGCAAGAGGTGCTTCTGATTCTCTGGAAGTGGGCCCCTTCCCTGTATGTGGTACCTGGCTGCTGGGGAGAGCAGGAAAGCCTGCTGCTCTGTCCGCTGTTGGAGTGTGGGTCTTGACCGCTCCAGATGTCCTGCCGGGCTGGCGCAGTGTGTTCCTGGGAAGCTCACAGCAGCGTGGGGGCTGTTGGCCTTGGTGTTGGGGAGTGCGATCTGGTCCAGGGCCGGGGGACTAGTGTGCTGTGCCCTGCTTTGTGTACTTGGGGACCCCCTTGCTCCTCGGCCACCAGAAGAGTTGGATCAAGCCCCAGGGCCTGGAAGTAAGGACCAAACAGGCCTATCACCTTACTTTGCAGAGTGCTTCCTTGTAAGTAGAAATATTTATCTATTTAATTTTTTTGTTTGGCTTTCAAGATTATTTTGAAAGAAAGGCAAGAGAGAATGCAGCAGCGTCTCCAGGAAAACGTGGTGAGCCCAGCTTTTGCCAGTGATGATGTGCGACACCCTGAGAGCGGAGGTGATGACCAGTCCTTGGAGCAGGTTGAGCCCTCAGGTACCAGCTTCTTTTTGCTTACTGTTCAAGGAAGTTTCACTGGAGGCAGCATGTGTGCAGCAGACTGTCGGGAGCTCTGCTGGCCTCCACCCTCTTGTAAAAGCTTCAACTTTGACCCCGGGAAAAGCGGTTTTCAGATTCCCGACTTGACTGCAGGGGCATGCTGGATGGGTGGGGCTCTGGCTCTGGTAGTGTCTCTGAGGGGCAGAGCAGATGAGCCTCCAAGCTTGAAGTTACCATGATAACGAAACCACAAACTGCCAAACTCTTTTCCCACAGCATGTAAGACATGGATGATGTCAAACAAAAAGGCAGATCGAGATTTAAGCAGGCTTGTTATGCTCTAAGCCGCTGTTAAAACACTTGTTAAATGGCGCATTCAGAAAACACACCCACAAGTATAAATGTGCAGCTTGGGACATTCTAGAGTGACGGGAGTGTCTGATTTGGAAGCAGAAGAGCCCTGATGGCCCCAAGAGCCCACACCGAGGCCTTGCCCTGGCCAGAACCCGGAGTGACTTGGCACTTCTGGCAGAGGACTCTGGCAGTGTGCCCCTGCTGCGTAGTGCCGGGTGTGCGGGCGTGCCAGGTGGCAGCTGGGTGTGCAGCGTTTCTGCTTGGCAGCGGTGGAGGAGTGTTGCTATGGCCTGTGCAGGGGTTGTTGATGGGGGTGCCAGCACTCCCTCCTGTGGCCGGACTGTGGAATCCGGGGGTCCCTTGCCCTCTAGCCATCGAAGCTTCTGCCTGACTGGTGTGCTGGTGCCTTCCGGTTTAGCCCCAGGTGAGGAGCAGGCCAGCAGCGGTGAACATTATCCTGGCTATTGAATTCCTTTACCTGGTGACCCTGCCCCTCACTTGAAAATTGAGTCTTTTGCAGTAACTTTTGGGAGACTTAAGCTGTTACTTGGGGGTACATTTAAACATACCTTTAAAGGCTCTCATGGTTTAAGCACTTGAATTCTCAACTCTTACAAGGATTATTTGATAAAGGAACAGCTCCAGCATTCAAGTGCAGAAATTCAGAGCAAAAACCATACCTTTGAAACTGATTGGGAACTTGAGGTTGTCTCAAAATTTAAAATAAATGTGGCCCCCGAACCTTCTGCTTTGAAGTGGCTGACATGCTGAGTCACATCAGTACTTTGCCACAGGGAAACTGAGGCAAAGCAGAAAGGTGCTGTGCCTGTTCCACCGGAACTTGCTTGTCCCGGGCCATTCCTCTCCCCTCAGGCCTCTGTCAGACCCCTGGCTGCGTGGTGGGCACGTGTGGAGTCTGGCTGCTGCGGCGATGGGGTGTTGTGACGCTGACGTTGTGTGCCCCCACCCCTAGGTGCCTGTTGCAGATGCTGAATAATTCTTTCTCTGATACAGGGGGGGCGGACACCGTGTCAGCGTCCGAGGTGCCTGCCATGGAGAGCAAGTCTGAGGAGTGGCTGGGGGCAAAGACCCAGAAGGAGGCAGAGGCCTGCCCCCCGGCCCCTGACAGCACCTGCTACCCCAAGATCCACAGCCGGAGATTCAGGGAGTGAGTGAGCTGTGGTTGGTGCCACCCCCGGGGACTGGTGGGTGATGGCCCCCTGGTGTGGTGCATCTGTGTCTGCCACCTTGAGATGGTGGCAAAGCCTCAGTGCAAGTGCCAGCTTGTTGCCCTCCTGCTGGGGGGAGGTGGCCAGTACCAGTCAAGAGGTTTGTGGTAGAGGCGCCTGTCCGCCTCTGTCCTGCGCTGGACCAGAAGCACCCTGGAGCCTGGGCTTGCAGGGGACAGTG